CCCCAAAACCCCAAAACCCCAAAACCCCAAAACCCCAAAACCCCAAAACCCCATTTTAATATAATATTTAAAATCAAATATGAGTCAGAAGTACCTCTCTTTGTCCAACAGAGATGAGAATGTAGACATCTCCCTTGATAAGTACGAAGATGAATTAGATGAGCTCCAGGTAGAAGCCCTTGACTTCTCCACAATGACCGAGCAGGAGATCATTGCCAAGTATGAAATCCTTAAGAAAGAGAATGAAGTTCTCAACATGAAATATTCCAGAGCCAATAGAGATGTTATGAAGGAGAAGGAAACCTGAAACCAGAAGATCCTCCAGGCTGAGACCATGGGAATGATGACCAAGTACCAGCTCGTCTTTGTCAAAATGGAGACGGCTTTTGCTAAAATTTTCAATCATAATAAACTCCGTGACCTAAGAAAGATGCAGAGAGCCTTCACTAGAATGAAGGATAATGCAGTCCAAAAGAGGTTGGACATTGTCTGTGGAGCCAAAATTGCCCTTGAAAATTATAAAGCTTTAGGCAAAATCTTCAATAAATACGAAAAGAACCAAAAGCTTAACATGAGAGATGCCTTTCATACCTGGAAGACTCTCCTCACTGGTGAGAAGATCATCAAGGAGAAAGAAGAGAGGCTAAATGAGAAGATTGAGGACAAGCGAGCAGAAGCCAAACATCTTGAAAGGAAGATCAAGGAAGTTGAAGTTGAAATCAGACAAGTCGATAAAGAATATACTAAATTTGAAGAAAATAAGGAAAGAATAGAGAAACAGGATGGAATTCCGAGGGATTTGAAAGCTGAAATTAACCATATTTTAAAATCCACACCAAGCTCAATATATAGAGGAGATCATTCAGTCATGAGTAAACTAAAAGTAGCCTTTGATCATGCTGTAATGACCAATAAAGAACTTTCTCGAGACCTCAACAGCACCAATGACAATGTTAAAGGCTTCATTGAGGACATGTCTACCCTTATGAGCACCCATAGCCTCACCTCAACAATTGATCAAACCTTGGAAGAAGAATGTGGAGGTTCTTCATTCTATAACGAAGACCAAAGACAAGAGTACACAAGGCCCACCAAGAAGTACACTCCTCATTACAACACTGCAACACAGGGAGGATCTAGTTCTCACGGAAGAAGAAAGAGAAGAGTCCATAAATAAATTAACCATTATTTCAACTCATCCTCAAACATGTGGGGTTTTGGGGTTTTGGGGTTTTGGGGTTTTGGGGTTTTGGGGTTTTGGGG